ACAGAGAAGCTAATATTGATAAAGACATGCCAGTCCTCAACTTTACAAGCAGGATGGCTAATGCAGTCCTTGCGCTTCTGTTCAGTGTAGAGTAAAGAGAGGGATTAACTGAACGTAAAAGGTCAGAAAATTGATTTTTATACAGACCTGTGAGACGGTAGTAATCTTGATCAGTTAATCCATCTGAGGAATCAAAGTCTAAACAACTTTTCTTTGAAGCAGCTGCCCTAAGTGTCAAAAGGATCTCTGATATTTCAGAAGAATCCAGTTCAGTGTCTTTGCTGGAATATGCGAGTGAAGATAGACTATCAGATGGGAAATCACCATTCACTATGTGGGAAGAACAACATCTGCAGGTGTTTGGGACAAGGATACCTGTCTTAATAAAAATCTTTACTCGCATTTCTGTTGAGAGCATTACCATTTTACTTTTACATTCCTCTCTTAACATTTTACAAATGAAACATCGAGATTCACCTAATGTAGCCCGTGGAATGTCAAGTTTGATTTTTTTTGTTTTCAGGTGACTCAAGCTGGTGCTCTACATCGCTACTAGGATGTTCAGTAGATGAATGGTGATTGTAGTATCTTCCCCTGCATTTTTTACATACGGGGTCACCAAGCCTTAAGGCATTATTAATATTTGCTTTCAAGTAAGACAGAATGTCTGTTTTATTCAGACAACAGAGCCTTACTTTATATTGTGCTTTACAACAAGCGCACTGCCTGTGCACTGGCATATTGATAAAAGAAAAGAAAACAGGGCATAAACTTAGAAAACACTCCTTATTAAAACCTTAATTTGGATGAACAAAATTATGAACAACAGTTGAATTACAATTATATGTCTAGATTATATGTACAATATCAGTGACAGTCAAACCAAGAAAGTATACTAAAATCGCTGAGGTTGTGAAGTGTAGTTGACACGTATTAATTGTATATATAAGGGTATATGAACTGTCTGAGACAAGGTGCACATGTATACTCACCGGTAGACACAAAGATCCTTAACAAGGTATATGTCAGGGGATGGCATTATATCCCGCCATTTTAGCTTAAAGCTCAACCAGCCGTACCAAACTGGTTTAAATATCTCTACATTTATCAAGCAATTTATTTTAAACAGTTCTTAATGCAGGACAATTTAACATTTATTTATTAGATATTTATTATCTAATATAATTACATAAGACAACTCTGATATCAACCAAAAGTTGTCAAAAGTGTGAACCCGCCCCCTCCCATTAATTAATTCTCCATTTTCTATAAAGTATTCAAAAATAAATCTTACTAAAGCATGACACATGATAAAGGTATTGTTTTTATGTGCATTAAGGCAGAAAATTAAGTTCATCTTTAATATAATTAGCAATTAATGAGCTTAATTACCATGACCTACTTTTCAACAATGGAATATTTTTTTCAATCAATTTTACTAATGAATGTTTTGATATGGATTATTACAAGAAAATTAAGAAGAAAAAATCCAAAAATATAATGTAGGTTTGTCATAATGGAGCTGTTTATGAATTTTACCCCCCACTTTACCCCCCCATAACTAATGAATGGCTCAGATCTGACCTTAATTTTATGTCATATCATGACCGCCTAACCCCAAGGAATTCCTACACAAGAAATAAAAAATATCGGTCATGGCCGCCAGAAGGCCCAAATTGGCACTCCTCCTTTGGAGTACTTCTTCTAATACCTAAAATACGTTTGCAGAATTGTAAATGAAGTTTTTAAATGGCACTTAAATTTTCAAAACCCCAAACTTCTACTGAATACAAAAGTATAGGCAACACAAGTGAGTCAAAAATCTTCAACTGAAGGTCTACTGGAAGCTGAATATTTCTTATTTTCTTATAAACAGCAAACATTGCTTTTTTAGACTGTTCCATTAATTTACATTTAGCTTTAAAGTAACTTCCGTTGTAATTAATTAAAACACCCAAATAAGGAAATTTATCAAGAATTTCAATTTCTTCATTACACAATGTAAAGTGGAAGGCTGTACGACCTTTTCTCTTTGCAAATATAACAATTTTGGTTTTGTTAGTATCAACATTAGGCTTCCAGGTATTACAATATACTTCAAAAGTATTGAGAGCAGATTGAAGTCCTTCCGCTGTTTCAGACATAATAATGGTGTCGTCTGCATACAGAAGAATAAACAATTTTAAGTACATTTCTATATTTTCACTCAAAGTTTCATTGTTTGAAGACAATTAACATTATTTTCTGCAAGAAAATCTTCCAGATCATTAAGATAAATTGAAAATAAAAACGGTGATAAATTTTCTTGTTTTACCCCGATATTACAATTGAACATTTCTGACAATTCATTTCCATTTTTGACACAAGATTTGGTATTTTCATACAAGTTAAATATTACTCTGAACATCTTCCCGGTTATATTACTCTTTTGAACTTTTCTCCATAGACCAAGTCTCCAAACTGAATCAAAAGCTTTTCTGATATCTATAAATGAACAGAATAATATCTTTCCTAGAGAAAAATAAATAGAAGTTAATGCATGTAGAATAAAAATGTTGTCAGTGGTGGAATGATTTTTCCTGAAGCCAGCCTGTGAGCAGGTAATTAGATTAATTTCATCAGCCAACTTGTTTAATATGTTATTAAATATTGATGTAAAAACTTTTCCTAGACATGAAACAAGACTTATAGCTCTGTAATTGTCTAAGTCTGATGGATCTCCTTTACGTTTATAGATGGGTTTAATAACCCCTATCTTCCAAGAGTTGGGAATACAACCAGTATTAAATATAATATTAAACAACTTACAATACAAAGGTTTAAACAGTTCAACAATAGATTTTAAATATTCATTCAAAATTCCGTCAAAACCTGAAGCATTATTAAACTTCAAACTTACAATGGATTCTCTAATTTCACATTCAGTAATATTTCCATTCAACAGATGATCAAATCTACTATCCCCATCTATAACCACATCGTCAAACATCTCGTCAGAGTTACCTCCCTTATTCAACTCTTTAAAGTAGTTATATAATTCATTAATATTTTTGTCTAGCTTCTGTTCCTTACAGGGGCCATCAATTTCATTCAAAATATGCCAAAAAGTTTTCGGCTCTAGGTTCGAAACTTTTCTTAGTTCCGTTTCCATTTTCTCTTGGTGAATTCTATATGACTTGTTTAAAGTTTTCCTATACTATAGAAAAACATGAAGAATAAATAGTAAGGTATAACAACATGATATAGCCTTTGGCAAATACACAACTGTTCAGGACGATTATGTATTAATTCAAGGTGTTAAAGTCTGATAATTGTATGTTAAAAGAGGCATATGCTTTCCATGAAATGGAAACGCAGAGACCAAACACAAAGTTCATCTGGCCTGCATTCATAAAACCAAAGTTCTTTGGGGGTTTGGATTTGTATGACTAAAACAGTCACCAGGTGGCACTGCTCTCTTGTCTAATATTAAGTAAAGGATTGACGATCCAGCAACTAGACTTTAATTCGCTACATATCACGAGTATCTATAGACACAAGAGTTACACTACACTTCTACCAAACACAATCCTTACCAAAATACCGAAGAATAAAGATAAGTAAATTACAACTGTCTACTCATAACCTAGCAATATTTTAATGTAAAAGACAGATATTATTTTTGGTTGCTTGTCAACGTTACAGAGGTTTAAAGGAAATGTATATTTAGATATATTTCTTTGACAAACCACCAGTTTTGAAATTTCTGAACTTCTAGATACACACAATAGAAAATGAATTTGTTCGGAAAATTTATTGTTTTTATAAATCTAGCTGAATACTGTCTGGCTCTGAATGTCTAATTATCCATCAGTCATCTTGACACGTATACCCCGCACTTCATAATATCACATAAATTCCATCTGTATCTTCCATGCAGCCTTGTACTTTTCTTATCGTTTATATGTATAAATTAAATTAAATTCATTTTCTCTTAAGTTTGGTTCAGTGTGTGGTATTATTTACAGATTAGTACTACGTGTATAAAGTACTATTTAATTTGCATAATTTTGCTATAATTAAGTTAAATTAGAATCAAAATTCCTATAAAATCATGTGATCATACGTGCATTATGTTAATTATATAATTTCACTTGAAACATCGTGAACATTATGCCAGATATAGCTGTAATTAATGTTTTCGCTATATATTGTAAGCATGTATATATATATTTATGTACTGAATGTCTAGTAATAGATAAGAATGAGAATGAACAAACAATATTAAGCTACGGCATTTTTAATGAAGTATCATGGAGAACGGATAAAATTGACGCTGTACTGGGTGATTTAGGATCTAGACAAACACGTGTTTATCAAAGTGGCCCAATAAATTGTCAGTAGTACATTAACTCTCTAGAGGGAGACATGTTATACATAATCAGATTCACTTTCAAAATCGATGAAACGGAGACTTAGGGAAATGTAACAACTATATGCCTCCCTCACCCCTAGCTCATAGGTTCACATGCTAGCAACCGTCTATGAGAAAATTAGTATAAATAATGCATATCCCCAATAATCAATAAAAAATAAGAGGCGATGGTACCTGTGTTATATGTTTACAATATACCACCAACCACATATCGACCCAATGTACACTGTGTGTATATATATATATATATATGTAATTATCCATAACAACGAGGGTATATACCGGAATTCACGTAACACAGATAATTTATCTATGAATTTCAGCACATTGTCCTTCCCGCGAAACCATTGATATCTAAATCGGTGGAAAGTGCGGGAATATGAACTACAAGTGAAATTGTATGACATAGGTAAACACTGGTGAGTACACTCCCACGTGTATCGACAAGTTTGTAAACATTTTTACCTGGGAATTTCACCCCGACACACCTGGCTTCGCTCAAGAGTCGACGGTGAGGAGAGAACACACCTGCTAATAATTGTTTATATTTCCCGACCTGGAATTGGGGTGAATCCAATTCTTCAAATATGGCATCAATGGATAAATTAAGGAAGAAAATATTGGAGAGAGGATCTTCTGGAATACTGGACTTCGGCAGGTAAGCGACCATTGTGTGAATATCTCGTGTGTAAGCTAAACGGTGTTTACTGAAACAACATGGTCACTGTATTGTATTAAGGCCGGAACAAAGTATCTCCACAGTCCTTCTGTGTACTAAATATAATGTACCCCGTATGTTGTATAGTAAATATGACCGCGTAATGTATATGTTTCCAGTCGTGCATGGTAATTCCACTCCCCCTCTCTCTCTCCTCACACGATAATTCCACTCCCCTCTCTCTCTCTCTCCTCACATGATAATTCCACTCCCCTCTCTCACCCTCTCTCTCCCCTCACACGATAATTCCACTCCCCCCTCTCTCTCTCTCTCATGATAATTCCACTCTCCTCTCTCTCCTCGCTACCTCTCTCTCTCTCCTCACATGATAAACTTCCCCTCTCTCTCTCTCTCTCTCTCTCCCCTCTCTCCCTCTCTCTCTCCTCACATGATAATTCCACTTCCCCTCGCTACCTCTCTCTCTCCTCACACGATAATTCCACTCCTTCTCTCTCTCTCCTCAAATGATAATTCCACTCCCCCTCTCTCTCTCCTCACATGATAATTCCACTCCCCTCTCTCCCTCTCTCTCTCCCCTCACACGATAATTCCACTCCCCTCTCTCTCTCTCCTCACATGATAATTCCACTCCCCTCTCTCCCTCTCTCTCTCCTCACATGCTAATTCCGCTTCCCCCCCCTCTCTCTCACTCTTTCTCTCTCCCCTCGCATGATAATAATAAAAAGAAACGGGACAACGCCTCTTTTCCAAGGACGTATTTGATTTGTCGGTAACATTAGTTATCGTTGTTTCCCTTTACTAACTACAATATGCCATACAAGTCCTCATCCCACAGAGATATTGCTGCAGGCCCAAATGTGCAAAAGTCTATATGTAATACGTACCAGATTGCTAGGGAGCATCGTACAATGTAATGTTATCAATATGTAGGTATTTGAAGGGGGGATAACTCGGATCGAAAAAAGGAACGACGCATTGTCAGTATACAGTCCCCACATAGAGTTTCTACGATTCAACTATTGTGTGTGAACCCAGAGAATCCGCTGATATAAAACTAGCACCACGGTACCTGAGTGAATGGAAAATAAAAACAGACAGAACTTGAATACGACGTATCGTCTCAACATAGACTGTCATTCAGTTTTGAGAAATGATTGTAAATATGCATGAAAAAGGATGATTGTGAACAGGTCTGTCAAATCCTTCTTGGATAAGGGATTTTTTACTCCCCAATCTGTGATCGTGTTTATATGAATGAAGGAGATTTAAGACGATATACATAATATATCCCTCTTGGAAATAGGAAACAGTTGTTAGTTGTAACCGGGGGAGGAAAAAAAAGGACACATGGTACCCCTGGGCACATGAGACAGCATACGAGTGATATGTACAAGAAAGATATATTCAATTAATGCTATGACCAACACAGTCAACGACAGGAATATGAATTTCAACAGTGTACCCTTACGTCTAAGTGTTCGACTGGGAAATCATTTTTAGGCAGACTTTAGATTTTGTATGAAAATGTTATGCAATTGATGTGTGAATACTTTCAATATAGTACTTCATTTCTCCTACAGGTTATTCAATATTGTTGACCGGAATCGTAGCCAATCCATCGATTTAAACGAGTTTGAGAGATGTATCGAGATATTCCAGATTGACATAGGAGACAGTGAGATGAGGGCTCTCTTCAGCAGTATGGACAAAGACGGCAGTGGGAAGCTAAGCTACAAAGAATTCATTACAGCGCTCCGGGTATGCAGATAGTTAAGGCGTGGGAGCCAGGAAAGGGAACAACGAGTTAAGGCGTGGGAGTCAGGATAGGGAACAAAGAGTTAAGGCGTGGGAGTCAGGATAGGGAACAAAGAGTTAAGGCGTGGGAGTCAGGACAGGGAACAAAGAGTTAAGGCGTGGGAGTCAGGATAGGGAACAAAGAGTTAAGGCGTGGGAGTCAGGACAGGGAACAAAGAGTTAAGGCGTGGGAGTCAGGACAGGGAACAAAGAGTTAAGGCGTGGGAGTCAGGACAGGGAACAAAGAGTTAATGTGTGGGAGTCAGGACAGGGAACAAAGAGTTAATGTGTGGGAGTCAGGACAGGGAACAAAGAGTTAATGTGTGGGAGTCAGGACAGGGAACAAAGAGTTAATGTGTGGGAGTCAGGACAGGGAACAAAGAGTTAATGTGTGGGAGTCAGGATAAGGAACAAAGAGTTAATGTGTGGGAGTCAGGATATGGAACAAAGAGTTAATGTATGGGAGTCAGGACAGGGAACAAAGAGTTAATGTGTGGGAGTCAGGACAGGGAACAAAGAGTTAATGTGTGGGAGTCAGGACAGGGAACAAAGAGTTGAGACGTGGGAGTCAGGACAGGGAACAAAGAGTTAATGTGTGGGAGTCAGGACAGGGAACAAAGAGTTAATGTGTGGGAGTCAGGACAGGGAACAAAGAGTTAATGTGTGGGAGTCAGGACAGGGAACAAAGAGTTAATGTGTGGGAGTCAGGACAGGGAACAAAGAGTTAATGTGTGGGAGTCAGGATAAGGAACAAAGAGTTAATGTGTGGGAATCAGGATATGGAACAAAGAGTTAATGTATGGGAGTCAGGACAGGGAACAAAGAGTTAATGTGTGGGAGTCAGGACAGGGAACAAAGAGTTAATGTGTGGGAGTCAGGACAGGGAACAAATAGTTGAGACGTGGGAGTAAGGACAGGGAACAAAGAGTTGAGGCGTGGGAGTCAGGACAGGGAACAAAGAGTTAATGTGTGGGAGTCAGGACAGGAAACAAAGAGTTGAGACGTGGGAGTAAGGACAGGGAACAAAGAGTTATTGTGTGGGAGTAAGGACAGGGAACAAAAGTTAAGACGTGGGAGTCAGGACAGGGAACAAAGGGCCAAGGCATGGATGCCGGAATAGGGACATTATTACTTCTGCTAATTACATTATTTTTCCTCTGTTTTCTGTTTTCCCTTTTTATTGTCCACATTGTTAATATGGACAAAAGCATACGTGTGTTGAAAGAGATAGATTAATGATAGATGTAGGGAACAATGTGTTTTGTAAAAAGATGTGGAATATACTGATTAGTAGGTAGGAATAGCCACGACCTGGAATGTGAGTCGATTCGGGGCACAAAATACCAAATACAAGCTTTTCTCATTCATCTTTGTGTTTGAAATACACAACATTGTTAGGTTATCAGGTAAAAATGAATTCGAAATCAATCGTACATTGAGCCAATTCATATTTTTATTACATTTAATTTATGACCTTTCCATTCAATTTGTTCTAGCCACCTCTAAACGCTCAGAGGTTGTCAATGATCGACCAAGCCTTTAAGGTGATGGACGTGACAGGGGACGGCGTGGTCACTGTGGAAGATCTAAAACTAAGGTATAATGTCCAGTTCCATCCAAAGTTTGTGTCTGGAGAATGGACGGAAGAAAAGTGTCTCAGGGAATTCCTTGACAGTTTCGACTCGGAAAAAAACAAGGACGGTGTTGTAAGTATTTATTAAATGCATATATTATGTTAGTAAATTTACATTTGTTGTGCGTCGTATTAGGTGAATTGAGAACTTAGTCGTTTTCAAATTTTCTTTGTAAGGTCAGTGGGTTCCCATATAGGTAAGATATCGATATATTTGAAATGATGATGATTTATTTAACATTTCAGGTGACTGACCAAGAATTCATTGATTACTACAGTGGAGTTAGCTCCTTCATAGACTCAGATCAGTACTTTGAGGAAATGATGAGAAAGTGTTGGAAACTGTAGAATAGTGGACATGCTGGAAAGGGCTTACCGAGTACTGTGATCAATGTACACTAGGAACCGAAAAAGAATAGAAATTTTAACAAATCTTCCTTAAAATTGATATGACAGCTTTGCGAATCGTATCAACCTGTTTGTATCCACTATATAAATGCTTTCTTGTCATATCCACTGACCAATCCGGTCTTGCTATGTGATTTAGACTTGGGGATAAATTCTACCTTTATATTACATATGTATAATTTCTCAGTCTCAATATTATCATCGATGATCCCTGTATAGTTCAGTTCCTTTCATGCTTGTGTCGGATTGAAGTCCACCAAATCGATATTCCGGTCACTCAGTATCAAACAATGTAGCAATACCTAGTTTTTCTCGTGTTCATATGGCCTTACTGGTTGTTCGTTAAGTTTGCACTTATTTACTAGAAAAAACTTAAAAGAACTTTAAAACGAACCCAGAGCCAGTTACAGTCATACATTTGAAATAACACCTATGTATATATATGCAGTATATCTTGGTGATAATTGGTTTTAAGAAAAGTTGTCTAATTACGGTCGTTTATCTAGGGGTATTTGTACTAATGTTATCTTATTGATATCTTAATTTACTACGCAATTCATCTACAATACACAGTTATGAAAAAAAATGTCAAATTTGTTTATATCAACGATGGCATGTTTTGCTAGTTTTCATCACTTTAAATATCTGTAATAAAGAAATACAAAATAAACATAATCATCACGTTTACGTTTTTAATAACACTTGTACGTTAAGCCCCTTGACACTAAACAAAGACCCCGAAGACCGCGCTGTGTCCTGACACACTAGACAAAGACCCTTAAAGTGTACCCTGAGAGGTCAGCTATGTTGACCTTGAAAAATAGTTCTGCACATAAAATACACTATGCCGAAAACACGAATGCCGTGGAATGTTCCGTTATTGAGAAATTGCGACTTTTCTGAAAAACACACCTTTGGCTGAGAGGCGTTGACCTCGTTTTCGGGCACCCAAACCTGTGACGTCATAAGTTCAACGCTTTTGTTGATGCAGCCATATTGTCTTTACTGTGCTACATGTGATTGTGATCTATTTTGGGATTTTCCGTGGAAATTTCTTTGTTTATTTACGTGAAAGTACTTCACATCTTCGCAATATCTAAGGTAGTGAACGAGGGGTCGGTGAATTAGCGCTTAAATCCGCTAAAATGGCTTCCTATCGCGGAGGGAAGCGGTGTGTATGGTTGTCCTAACACTAACACGGATGGGGTGTCGATGCATGACGTCGATAAATAAAACTGATTGTTGATTAAATAAAAGTATAATTGTTAGGTTGATATTTTGTTATTAATTCTACAACTAAACATTTTAAATTGATAGGCTAGCCTATGACTTGGACGGTCATAGGAATATTATTCCTTCGTAATCGTGAACGCCTAATACTCAGAGAAGGCCTAGTCGTGAATGGGTCACGGGAATTTTCACCCCGAGAATTTTCATACTACTATTATATAGTATAGAATAGAATTATTAGAATTTATAGAATAGGTTATGTGTGTATGTTGTTTGTATAAGGTGTATTTGGTTTTTAGATCTTCCAGCAGACAATGTTGTTTAGTTATTAATTTTGCGATCGTAAAAATAACAATAAGATCACCAATCTTGATTTGAAAACACAGTTCACAGTGTAGAGCTGTCATCTAAACTCATAATCACACCCGTTTTGCCAGGTTGTTAATATAGCAGCCTCGTGTGTTGAAAAAGATAGATTAATGATAGATGTAGGGAACACGCCTGTCGGCTAACAAAGATGTGGAATATACTGATTAGTAGGTAAAAACCAGTCAAATAATTGTTTAAACTTCTAAAACATCAAATTTTTGTGTTATTAACACAACATTGGAGGTTATTGGTAAAAATGAATTTGACGCCAATTCATATTTTTATATATATTTATGACCTTTCCATTCAAAAATTAGCCACCTCTAAACGAAAAATTCCAAGCCTTTAAGGTGATGGACGTGACAACTGGTCACTGTGGAAGATCTAAAACTAAGGAAAATGTCCAGTTCCATCCTCTGGAGAATGTATAGTCTTGCACAAACGCGATTTCCGGAAAAAAACAAGGACGGTGTTGTAAGTATTTATTAAATGCATATATTATGTTAGTAAATTTACATTTGTTGTGCGTCGTATTAGGTGAATTGAGAACTTAGTCATTTTCAAATTTTCTTTGTAAGGTCAGTGGGTTCCCATATAGGTAAGATATCGATATATTTGAAATGATGATGATTTATTTAACATTTCAGGTGACTGACCAAGAGTTCATTGATTACTACAGTGGAGTTAGCTCCTTCATAGACTCAGATCAGTACTTTGAGGAAATGATGAGAAAGTGTTGGAAACTGTAGAATAGTGGACATGCTGGAAAGGGCTTACCGAGTACTGTTGGTGATCAATGTACCCTAGGAACCGAAAAAGAATAGAAATTTTAACAAATCTTCCTTAAAATTGATATGACAGCTTTGCGAATCGTATCAACCTGTTTGTATCCACTGTCATATCCACTGACCAATCCGGTCTTGCTATGTGATTTAGACTTGGGGATAAATTCTACCTTTATATTACATATGTATAATTTCTCAGTCTCAATATTATCATCGATGATCCCTGTATAGTTCAGTTCCTTTCATGCTTGTGTCGGATTGAAGTCCACTAATTAGATATTCCGGTCACTCAGTATCAAACAGTGTAGCAATACCTACTTTTTCTCGTGTTCATATGGCCTTACTGGTTGTTCGTTAAGTTTGCACTTATTTACTAGAAAAAACTTAAAAGAACTTTAAAACGAACCCAGAGCCAGTTACAGTCATACATTTGAAATAACACCTATGTATATATATGCAGTATATCTTGGTGATAATTGGTTTTAAGAAAAGTTGTCTAATTACGGTCGTTTATCTAGGGGTATTTGTACTAATGTTATCTTATTGATATCTTAATTTACTACGCAATTCATCTACAATACACAGTTATGAAAAAAAATGTCAAATTTGTTTATATCAACGATGGCATGTTTTGCTAGTTTTCATCACTTTAAATATCTGTAATAAAGAAATACAAAATAAACATAATCATCACGTTTAGTGTTTAATAACACTTGTACGTTAAGCCCCTTGACACTAAACAAAGACCCTTAAGACTGCGCTGTGTCCAGACACACTAGACAAAGACCCTTAAGACCACGCTGTGTCCTGACACACTAGACAAAGACCTTGAAGACCGCGCTGTGTCCTGACACACTAGACAAAGACCCTTAAGACCACGCTGTGTCCTGACACACTAGACAAAGACCCTTAAGACCACGCTGTGTCCTGACACACTAGACAAAGACCCTGAAGACCGCGCTGTGCCCTGTCACACTAGACAAAGACCTTGAAGACCTCGCTGTGTCCTGGCACACTAGACAAAGACCCTTAAGACTGCGCTGTGTCTTGACACACTAGACAAAGACCCTGAAGACCGCGATGTGTTCTGACACACTAGACAAAGACCTTGAAGACCGCGCTGTGTCCTGGCACACTAGACAAAGACCCTTAAGACCACGCTGTGTCCTGACACACTAGACAAAGACCCTGAAGACTGCGCTGTGTCTTGACACATTAGACAAAGACCCTGAAGACCGCGCTGTTCCCTGTCACACTAGACAAAGACCTTGAAGACCTCGCTGTGTCCTGGCACACTAGACAAAGACCCTGAAGACCGCGATGTGTCCTGACACATTAGACAAAGACCCTTAGGACCGCGCTGTGTCCTGTCACACTAGACAAAGACCTTGAAGACCACGCTGTGTCCTGGCACACTAGACAAAGACCCTTAAGACCACGCTGTGTCCTGACACACTAGACAAAGACCCTGAAGACTGCGCTGTGTCTTGACACATTAGACAAAGACCCTGAAGACCGCGCTGTGCCCTGTCACACTAGACAAAGACCTTGAAGACCTCGCTGTGCCCTGGCACACTAGACAAATACCCTGAAGACCGCGATGTGTCCTGACACATTAGACAAAGACCCTTAGGACCGCGCTGTGTCCTGTCACACTAGACAAAGACCTTGAAGACCACGCTGTGTCCTGGCACACTAGACAAAGATCCTTAAGACCACGCTGTGTCCTGACACACTAGACAAAGACCCTTAAGACTGCGCTGTGTCTTGACACACTAGACAAAGACCCTGAAGACCGCGATGTGTCCTGACACACTAGACAAAGACCCTGAAGACCGCGCTGTGTCCTGACACACTAAACAAAGCCTCCGAAGACCGCGCTTCGTCCTGGCACATTAGACAAAGACCCTGAAGACCGCGCTGTGTCCTGACACACTAAACAAAGCCTCCGAAGACCGCGCTTCGTCCTGGCACATTAGACAAAGACCCTGAAGACCGCGCTGTGTCCTGACACACTAAACAAAGCCTCCGAAGACCGCGCTTCGTCCTGGCACATAAGACAAAGACCCTGAAGACCACGCTGTGTCCTGGCACACTAGACAAAGACCCTTAAGACCGCGCTGTTTCCTAACACACTAGACAAAGACCCTGAAGACCGCGCTGTGTCCTGTCACATTAGACAAAGACCCTGAAGACCGCGCTGTGTCCTGGCACACTAGACAAAGACCCTGAAGACCACGCTGTGTCCTGTCACATTAAACAAAGACCCTGAAGACCGCGCTGCGTCCTGACACACTAAACTAAGACCCTGAAGACCGCGCTGCGTCCTGTCACATAAAACAAAGACCCTGAAGACCGCGCTGCGTCCTGGCACATAAGACAAAGACCCTGAAGCCACGCTGTGTCCTGGCACACTAGACAAAGAGCCCGAAGACCGCGCTGCGTCCTGTCACATTAAACAAAGACCCTGAAGACCGCGCTGCGTCCTGTCACATTAAACAAAGAGCCTGAAGACCGCGCTGCGTCCTGTCACATTAAACAAAGAGCCCGAAGACC